TGAATAGATTTTGAGGGGGGGGAAGGAAAGTGTCAGCATTTCTGTAAACATTGGGACAATGTAATGCAACGCGCTCTTCCCAACACATGGAAGACAGGTTACAATGTTTTTTAGTAGGTCACATTGCATCTGATCCCTTTGAAGGATACTCGGTGACCAGGAGCAGATCAGGACTGGCATGTGGAGAAACCAAGATGTAACTCAATGGTCTGTCTGGATAATCACTGGGGACTTTCCATGACTGAGAATAGGATACGATAGGATAGGATTAAATGGAAATGAATTCTTTATTGGCCAAGTATGATTGGACACAAGAAATTTGTCTTTGGTGCATATGCTCTCAGTGTACATAAAAAGACAAGATACATTTGTCAAGAATCATAAGGTACAACGCTTAATGATAGTCACAGGGTACAAATAAGTAATCAAATCATAGTAGGAAACAATATAAATGATAAGGATACAAGCAACAAAGTAACAGTCATACAGTCATAAGTGGGAGGAGATGGTAATAGGAAAAATGGGAAGATTAATAGTAATAGTAATTTAGAGTTAGTAAATAGTTTGACAGTGTTGAAGGAATTAAATACATGGCAGAGTGATGGCATTCAGTAAAAAACTGTTCTTGTTTTCTAGTTGTTCTGGTGTGCAGTGCTCTATAGCCTCATTTTGAGGGTAGGAGTTGAAACAGTTTAGGGGTCTGTAAATATTTTCACAGCCCTCTTTTTGACTCATGCAGTATGCAGGTCCTCAATGGAAGGCAGGTTGGTAGCAATTGTTTTTTCTGCAGTTCTAATTATCCTCTGAAGTCTGTGTCTCTCTTGTTGGGTTGCAGAACCAAACCAGACAGTTATAGAGGTGCAGATGACAGACTCAATAATTCCTTTTTAGAACTGTATCAGCAGTTCCTTGGGCTGTTGGAGCTTCCTGAGTTGGCGCAGAAAGAACATTCTTTGTTGTGCTTTTTTGATGATATTTTTGATGTTAGGTGTCCATTTTAGGTCTTGAGATATGATAGAACCTAGAAATTTGAAGGTCTCTATTGTTGATACTGTGTTGTCTAGTATTGTGAGGGGTGGAAGTATGGGAGGATTTCTCCTAAAGTCTACCACCATTTCTACGGTTTTGAGTGTGTTCAGTTCCAGGTTGTTCCGGTCACATCACGAGGCTAGTGGTTCAACCTCCCGTCTTTATGCAGATTCATCATTGTCTCGAATGAGACCAGTCACTGTTGTATCATCTGCAAACTTCAGTAGTTTAACAGATGGATCATTTGATATTCAGTCATTGGTATATAGAGAGAAGAGAAATGGAGAGATCACAAATCCTTGGGGGGGGAGGGCTGTGCTAATTGTACAAGTATCTGATGTGATTCTGCTTAGGTTCACCTGCTGCTTCCTGTCTGTTAGGAAGCTTATGATCCATTTACAAGGGTGTTCAGATACCGCTAGCTGCAGTGGTGGGATTCTGCCGGTTCTAGGCGGTTTGGCCGAACCGTTTGTTAAATTGCTTGCTCGCCCCGCCCCTTGCCCTGTCCCTCTGCACCACTATTTATTGCCAATAAATAGTGGTGGGGCGAGCGAGCCAGCAATTTAACAAACGGTTTGGTGTTTTTTTGTAATTTATTGGCCTCGCAGCACACCGAACCGTTTTTTAAATTGCTGGCTCGCCCGCCCCTCACCTCGCCCCGTGTGCTGTGTTGAAAGCTTGCCTTAGTGACACACCGAGTTCGGGAGAAACGTCAGTTCAAACTTGGCACATTTTTCCGAACCATTAGTGACTTTTGGCTGGCCATGCCTGCAAACCGGTTCCCGCTCACCCACCCCGCCCGCCTGATGCTCGCCCGCCCCGCCCAGCCCCTACTTGCAGAATCTAGCCCCATACTTCTGCTCACCACTGCTGGCAAAGGTAAGGCCGAAGGGCACGGGTAGCCGGGGAAGGGAGAGCTGGTGGAGGGGTCATACCAGCAGCAGGTAGTGGACCGATGCACGCAGGGAGGGAGGGAAGCGCGTGGGAGATTGCAGCACCGGAGCTCTTCCCGTGCATTTCCCCCAGCCGGCCTGGCCTGCGAAGGAAGCATGCGGGAGATCCTAGCTGCAGTTTACTCGCGAGCAACATTGACTGGGAGAGACAGGGAGAAAGGCCAATGGTGCTCAGGAGTAAACTGCAGATTAGAGGCAGCCAGCAGCTCGCAGGCAGAGAAAGAAACCGCTTTGGCTCCGGTGCCAAAAGAAATTGGTGGGGAGAAAAAGAGGGAGGGTAGGAACAAGGGAAGGGCATTTTTTTCATTGTTTTAACTCCGTAGCAACATCCTTCCCAGCTACTGCTTTCTCTGCTCAGCAGCAGAGCTTTCTTTTTCTTTTTTTTAAGGTTAGTCCCCTTCTGCCTGGGAGAGAGAAGAGCGGGGGCAGGGAGAGAAAAAGAAGGCAGGGTGGGATGGTGGGGGGGCGGGAGCGGGGGTCTTCTTAATCACGGCTGGATGCTGCTTCCTTGGGTCCCCTCAACTTTCCAGTCCCAGAAAGTGGCTGAAAAATGCCTCCTGTTTCCATTTTCTGTCCTTGCCTCCTTCCTGTTTTATTTGGTTTTCCCTCCCACCCTGAAAGGAGTTTCAAGCAAAAGAAAGGGGGGGGAGTCTTAATGTCTGGTTAAAATGGGTAGTACTTCCATTTAAAGAAGAAAAGCACAGCTCAGATTATTGCTATGATTTTTTGCTCCTATATTCTGTTGTTTAGGTATAAATTTTGTTAATGTAGAAATTTTACTTACAGCCTATTAAACAACGGAGCTAGCTGTCTGCCTGCAATCATGTGTATCTATTAGGAGTAATTCCCACTGAGAGAGAGTAGCCTTACTGCCAAGTAAACATGCATAGGCTTTACATTGAGAGATAGGGTATCTATTAGTATGAGGTGTATCAGAGAGAGAAATGAGAACTTCTGTAATAACAGATACTTTGTGCCAAGACCAGGAGTGTGTGTGTGTGAGTGAGTGAGAGAGAGAGAGAGAGAGAGAGAGACAGAAAGAGACAGACAGATAGAAAGAAAGAGGGAAGGAGAGAGAGATAGAAGAGAAAGAAAGAGGAAGGAAGGAAGGGAGAGAGAGAGAAAAAAACTGTGCTATTATTTTTAATTGTTCCATTATTTATCATGTATTAATATTTTACACTGTCCCTACACCTAGAATGATTTTACTGCCTTTCTTTTGCCCAGGGCAACCACATATTTTTCAGGAATTTACATGCATTCAATGACTATAGTCCAGAGCATAAATATGTGCGTGTTTATTTGTACATCATGTTTTGTATACATACAGAGAAAGAAGCACTCTTATGATCTTTGCCTTTTAGGCTTGCTGTCAAACATCAGCCATAATACTAATGACTGTTTTGAACAATATGCAGGTTGTATTACACAAATGGCTATTTTATATGTGAAATTATGACTGAAATATTTCTGCACCTCTATTGGTTCACACTGTCAGGAAGTTTCTTTACACTAATTATACAACAAACAAGGAATGCTTATTTTCTGAAATCATGTACATTCCAGTTTTTCCCCCTTCTGGGCTCAATGTGGGTTTAAAATGAGCACAGGACCAAAACCAAGTAAACATATATAGTAACAGTACTAACAATCATTAGGTGGAGTAGCCATTTTAGATTATTTATGTTGGGTATTAGGGAAGTACCCAACAGGCTACATGGACAATGCACAGCTGACTCTGTAGCTTTAAAATCAGTCTCCTGAATTTAAAATGTTTTATAGGCACTAGTCTAAAGAAAAATTCCACTATCAGTCCAGTGTGATATTGCAATCTCACATGTATCAGTTCTACAACAACATTAATTAATTAATTAATTAATTAATTAATTAATTAATTAATTAATTAATTAATTAATTAATTAATTAATTAAATTAAGAATGCTACAATGGGCATAAATGATGACAGGTCAAAAGTACGAGGACCTGTCAGAAATCACTTTTTTCAGCCCTCTGGGTAGTCCCTATGTGCATATGGACTACTCAGAGGGCTTAAAAAGTGATTTTTGACCAGTCCTCGCACTTTTCACCGGTCCTTGCATTTATGACTGTCCTCACGTTGTACATTTTGCGCCTATCTTTTCACTGTGGTGAAGAGAAGTAGTTGTGAAATGAGTGACACAGTTGTTAAGAATGCTGCAATGGGCAGAAATGTGAGGATGGTCAAAAGTGTGAGGACCAGTCAAAAGTGTGAGGACCAGTCAGAAATGACTTTTTTCAGCCCTCTGAGTAGTCCCTATGCACATAGCTACATCCACCCAGTCACATGATCAGCTAGCCACGCCCATCCAGTCACACAAACAGCTAGCCACGCCCACCCAGTCACATAACCAGCTAGCCACGCCTACCCAGTCACATAACCAGCTAGCCAGGCCCCCAACTACGCAATGCCCACAGAACCGGTTGTTAAAAAAATTGAATCCCACCACTGGTTAGCTGGTTTAGTTTAGTTAGAAGTATATCCGGAATGATGGTATTGAATGCTGAACTAAAGTCTATAAAGGGGACCCTTGCGTAGGTCTTTGGAGATTTAAGACGTTGTAGGATGTAGTGCAGAGCCCTATTAACAGCATCATCTGTCAATCTATATGAGTGGAGAACACAAACTATCTCCTTGCTCCTAGCCCAGCACTGTCACCCACCCTATCAAATTTAAATGTGCAAAATTTCTAAAATTTAAAATAGTAAAATGCTCAATATGCTTAATATTGACTGATTGTTTTCCTTTTTCTCTTTCCTTGGTGTCATATTTTAGTGCACATCTTTATCATGTCTCATTTTATTATGGTTAGACATTGGAAACCCTTCCAATGATCCCAAAGCCTCTGAATCTCTTTCAGGGCTATATAAAAATGTCAAGCAAAATTAAGTAAAGCCAACCTAAGAATCGGAGGGGATGGTCTACATGTCAGGGTTCCAGGTAACAGACCCAACGAAATCAAAACGCTGAGGCCTGAACTCTCCTCAAAGTAATTTTTTATTAGGAATGTCATATTGGCACAGCTGGTGAAAACCAGATTCTGAAGGACACGAGGTTTTCCCCACCCAAATCAAAACCCAAAGTTCTTGCTCTCAGGTCACACATCCATCATATGGTCCAATCAGGTCACAGTCCTCCTTTGGCTGTCTTTGGTCCACGCCTTCACAACACCTGGTGGGGACGTCCTTGGTTCCCATGGAAAAGAATGTTGTTATGGCTACAATTTCCCGCAGTTATCTCTACCTCCCCCTCACATTCCCACAGCAGCAACCAGCCTTGCTGTGGCAGTCCTGAAGATTTCCGAAATGGTTTCAGGTGCTGACAGGCTGCCCCCACTCAGCTGAGAAGGAACTCTTGAAAGAGAAAAATCAGAGGTTAACCAGTCTCACCTTCAACACCCCCCCCCAGGTAGCCCCTTGGGCTTAACTAGGATATTTGTCATGAAACTGTTTAATCAACCTGTCTGCTTTTACATCCCAGGTCTTAACCCAGGTAGCTTCAGATAAGGGGTATCCCTTCCAGTGGACTAGGTATTGCAAGTGACCCTGCTGCAAATGAGAGTCTAAGATCTTTTTTTACCTCATATGAGTTTCCCCTTGTACTAAAATAGGCCTTGGGGCGGCCCAGTGTACTGGCCTTAGCTGAGAGCTTACTGCGGTTTTTAGCAAGCTGCTATGGAACACCGGGTGCACTTTCCCTAACAAGCGTTTTGAGTCTAAGCTGAACAATAACAGGATTTATCACTCTCGGGAAAGGCCCTCTGAACTTAGGACCTAATTTTCTGTTGGGCAGTTTGAGTTTTAGATACTTTGTTGGCAAGTACACTTTGGCTCTGACCTGCAGTTCCTCAGTGAACCGTTTCTTCAGAATTTCGAATGCTGGGCCACAAGTTGTGCCACCCACTTGGCCGCTTTGCCCTCCATGTTGTCAGCAATGGCTGAGATCATTTTGTCAGCCCTGGAGCCCATCTTTTTCTTTGGATCTTCAGGGCAGCCACATTTAGTGCTGTGGGAAAACAGGAGGGGGGGGTTTGCATGGAGTTGGTGGAGATATATAGTCATAACAATATTCTTTGCTCTGGGAGTCAAGGACGTTCAGCCTGCACTTGAAGAGGTGTACCTGGGGAACATCAGGATGGTGGATTGATTGGGCCATGTGACGGACATGTGGGTGCAGGGGAAGGAATTTTGACTTTTCCTTGGGTGGGGAAACTGTGGGGGCTTTCAGATTTGGGTTTTCCCAGATGTGCCAATATGACATCTCTAATAAAATGAAATTTTGAGGAACTGCTGGCCTCGGAGTCTTACTTGGGTGTGGGATATAGTTCTAAGTTGTCTAAGCCCAAAATTTCCAGCCTGATAGCATAAGATATTCTGTTGTGAGCAGAGGAGTGGAGGACTCTTTTCGTGAAATATCTTGGGACTCATTCAATTGTATTAATATCTGATATGCAGTGCGGATTCCAGACAGATGAGCTGTATTCAAGAATTGGTCTAGCAAAGGTTTTGTATGCCTTAGTTTGCAGTACAATATTACTGGAGAAGAAGCTTCGTAAGATTAGGTTAACAACTCTTAATGCCTTTTTGGCAATCCTGTTGCAGTGACTCTTAATTACCTCTTAATTAAGTAATTAATTAATTAATTAAACATAATTTGTCCTAATTAATTAATTATTAAGAGTTACTTAACTAATAATTTATTAACTTTAAATGCCTTTTTGGCAATGCTGTTACACTGAGCTCTGGCACTTAGATCATTAGAGATAAATACTCCAAAGTCCTTTTTTTTTTTTTTTTTAAATTTGATTTATATGCCGCCCTTCTCCGAAGACTCAGGGCGGCTTACAATGTGCTCAGCAATAGCCTTCATCCTTTTGTATATTTATACAAAGTCACCTTATTGCCCCCACAGCTGGGTCCTTACCTACCTTAGAAAGGATGGAAGGCTGAGTCAACCTTGAGCCTTGGCGAGATTCGAACCCTGCAGTAATTGCAGGCAGCTGGTCTTAATAACCAGCTTAATAACAGGGTGCCTTAAACCCCTGTACTACCAAGATCCTTGACAGAGTGAGGGTCGTATACAAGGTCATATCCGCCCAGCTTTAATTTTGTGTTCTGATTTGTTCTGCCAATGTGTAAGACCAAGCATTTGTTGCTGTGGCTAGCACCTGTGGCTAGAAAGCGGACAGTACAACAGGCGGCGCCTGTGGTTGTGTTTAAGGAGTTAAAATCATCAAGTACTGCATTGCTAGAAAGGCTGGGAGGAGAGGAGACGCGCAGAGGAACTTCCTCTTCCGGATGGCTGATGGGAGGAAGTTGGTGTGCAGAGCGGCTTTTGTGCTGTTTCCATGGTCGAAGCAGCAGCTGCCGGGTGAGTGGAGGGCAGCAGGTGGGAGGAGAGTCCGGGAGCAACTTGGGCTGGAAGCGGAGAAGCAACTGGGCTGAAGCCTCTCAGCTGCGGCTGCTGCAGGTTCCTTCCCTCCCCAAATGGAAGCCCACTGGTGCTGCAGGCTGGGAAACTGGGGGCTGCAATTTCTGCCGGTGGGAAGCTTGAAAAAGCCTCCTTCCAATGCAGGTTGAGCCTTTGGGGCTGGTTTCCCTCCAGAGGGAGCTCCGTCACTGGAGGTTTGGAAGAGAGCTGGAAGAAACCTTGGAGGTCTTAATGACGTCTCAGACAAATGGCTGTCCCGTCGGTTTAAAAGCCACCAGCAATGGAGCCCCCACAACCTCTGGAGGGAAGCCATTCCCGAAGAATCAACCTTCACTCAAGAGAGACTTTTTCAGTCTTCCAGGCAGCAGAAAATTGCAGCCATTCCCTTCCACTGGCTAATTGTTCTCACTGATGGGATTTTTCCTTAATTCCAGGTTGTTTCTCTCCTTGATTAGTTTCCATGCATTGCTTCTTGTCTTGTCCTTCTGGTGCTTTGGAAAAGAAGTTGACCCTTCAAGTATTGGAACACTGCTATCATGTCACCCCTAGTCCTTCCTTTCACTAGACCAGTGGTCCCCAACCTTTTTAACGCCGTGGCCCGCTGAGCGCGCGCAGGGGTGGGGCCACGGCCCAGGAGCTTTTGCGCACGGCCCAGTGCGCAAAAGCGGCCGGGGGACATGAACGCTGCAGCGCAAAGGCTCCTGGGCCGTGCGCTGCAGCGTTCATGTCCCCCGGCCGCTGCGCGGCCCGGTGCCAGGTACTCCACGGCCCAGCACCGGTCCGCAGACCGGGGGTTGGGGACCACTGCACTAGACGATTCATTCCCAATTACTGCAACCCACTAATTATCCCTTCTGCTCTTCTCTGCACTCTTTATAGAGTCTGGACGCCTTTTTTATATTGTGATGAAAAGTGGTTGCAGTAATCCAAGTGTGATCTTAATCACAGCATTATAAATTGGTACTAATACTTCATGTGATCTCGATTCTATCCCTCTGTTTAGGCAACCAGAGTTTCTCAGGCTTCTTGAGTCGTTTTCCCATTGATAGATTGATTGATTGATTCGATTTATATGCTTCCCTTCTCCGGAGACTCAGGGTGGCTTAGAATGTAAGTTCAGATCTCACCAGACTCAAGGTTGACTCAGCCTTCCATCCTTTCGAGGTAGGTAAAATGAGGACCCGGATTGTGGGGGCAATAAGCTGACTTTGTATAAAAAAGAACACCGCTTGTGGGGGCCGAAAGCCCTATTTAGCAGGTATATACAAAAGTATGAAGGCTATTGCTTAACGCATTGTAAGCCACCCTGAGTCTCCGGAGAAGGGCGGCATATGAATCGAACCAATAAATAAATAAATAATCTATCCTCAGTACATCCAGATATATTTGAGGATAACCTTTTGCAGTGCCAAGAATTTATGATTGACCCAAGTCAACAACATAATTTCATGGTTGAATAGATATCGTGGTACTCTTCCATATGTCAAATGAATCATAATTAATGTAAGAGATTATTGTAGCATTGTGGCATGTTTGCTTTTTTGTTGTAATGTATACTTTTTTTCACATCTTCTGTAACCATTTTATACACAATTAAAGTTACACTTTTCTTTAAAACTTATAGACAAAGAGGATGGCAATAAGAGCATTCTGGACAACTGAGAATAACAAGCAACATTGGAAAGGAAATAAAATTGAGCCAGAAATCAAAATATATTCCAGTCCCTTCAGAAAAGCACACAATTCTCCTTCTCCTGCAGACAAAATAGTTATAGACAAAAGAGAGAAAATTAAGATGAGATTTTGAGCTGGAAAAAGTAGAGGATACAAAACTCAAGGATACATTTAATGAAAAATCAAGGAAGATTATTTTTCACTCAGAAAAAGATGGAAATATCTGGAACTTAGGGGGAAGGAAAAGGTCTTATTGGGCAGGGCACATAGGACAGACAGTGATACAGGCCTTGCTCTGGGAAGAAGCAAACGGCTTTAATCAAAACACCACTAAACAATAGATCACACATATTTTTGACCTCAAGAATATCAGTTGTGGAAAAGCTCCATAGATCTGCCTATTGTAGAAAAAGCACAGATTGCAAATCATAGCTGATTAAACAAGAAGATCCCAAATGTAGAAAAGCCATATAAATTATCTGAATATGCCAAAAAGTTTGGTCAGATCAGCTTCCTTTAAAAAAAAAAACAATCATTACAACAATTTTCCTCCCTTATCTTCTTTTTTAGAATATTTTGAATAATCCACCACATTTTTATCCAAAATGCCTTAATTTTTTTACAGGTCCACCATATATGATAATACGTAGCATCATCACATTCACATCTCCAACACTTAGGTTGCACACTTGGGTACATACAAGCTAGCTTTTTAGGATCCAGATGCCATCTATAAAACATTTTATAAAAATTCTCTCTTAAGTTTTGGGCTTGCGTGAACTTCACATTTCTAACCCATATTTTTTCCCATGTTTCCATCATTATTGGTTCTTCAATATTTTGTGCCCACTTTATCATACAGTCCTTAACTAATTCCGTTTCTGAATCTATTTTTAGCAACGCATTATACAACCTTTTTATATGCATTTGACTTTGATCTCTAATCTGTTTTACCAAATTCTCCTCATTTTGCAGAAAACCAATTTTCTGATCTTCTCTCCATCTAGCTTTCAACTGTACATATTGAAACCATGTTCGAATTGTCCTTTCTTCTCTTAGTTGATTCAGAGATTTTAATTGTAGTATACCTCTTTCCTTGTTAAGAAGCTCTTTATATGTAATCACATCCTGCCTTTGCTCTATACTTATATTCTCTATCGCGTGTCTGGGTAGCATATTTATAATAAAAAATTCTTTCATAAATTTTTTACATTCTTTTACATTTTCCTCATATCTAAACAGATTTTTATTTAACCTCCAAGACCTCTTAGATCCCCTTCCATACTCTAATTCCATCCAGACTGGACTGTGATCTGTTAAAACTCTTGGACAAATATTCGTCGTCTTCACTCTGGAAAAGAAATAATTTGTAATTAATATAAAATCAATCCTTGAGAAAGATTGATGTCTATCAGAAAAAAAGGTAAAGTCTTTTTCTTCGGGGTTTCTCTCTCGCCAGATATCTCTCAGTTCCATATCCTCCATCATATCAAAAAACGATTTTGGCAATCTGGCACGTGTTGAAATGTTCTGCAAGATCCCCTTCTTATCTTTTTTAGTGTCCAAAACTCCATTACAATCGCCCAATAAAATACATGATTTATAATCCCATTGTAATAACTTGGAATGTAAAAGCTTATAAAATTTTTCCTGTTGTTGGTTTGGTGCATAGACTCCAATTAAAAGTATTTTTTCTCCTTTTATTAACTACCCACACAGGACAGAAGCCATACGAGTGCTCCCGATGTGAATACTTTAGTGAGCATGACAACATGGTGATACATCACAGGAGACCCATCACATAAGAGTGTCCAAATTGTGTGAAGTTTCACTGGAAATTACCACCTCATGAGACAACAAAGGACTCACACAGGAGAGAAACCATTTGAATGTCCTGATTGTGGGAAAACTTTCAGTCACAATTCCAGCCTGGTGACACACCAGAGGACTCACACAGGAGAGAAACCATTTGAATGTCCTGATTGTGGGAAAACTTTCAGTCACAATTCCAGCCTGGTGACACACCAGAGGACTCACACAGGAGAGAAACCATTTGAATGTCCTGATTGTGGGAAAAGTTTCAGTAACAATTCCAGCCTGGTGACACACCAGAGGACTCACACAGGAGAGAAACCATTTGAATGTCCTGATTGTGGGAAAAGTTTCAGTAACAATTCCAATCTGGTGATACACCAGAGGACTCACACAGGAGAGAAACCATTTGAATGTCCTGATTGTGGGAACAGTTTCAGTCGCAATTCCAGCCTGGTGACACACCAGAGGACTCATACAGGACAGAAACCATTTGAATGTCCTGATTGTGGAAAAAGGTTCAGTCGCAATTCCAGCCTTCTGATACACCAGAAGACTCATACAGGAGAGAAACCATTTGAATGTCCTGATTGTGGGAAAACTTTCAGTCACAATTCCAGCCTGGTGACACACCAGAGGACTCACACAGGAGAGAAACAATTTGAATGTCCTGATTGTGGGAAAACTTTCAGTCACAATTCCAGCCTGGTGACACACCAGAGGATTCATACAGGAGAGAAACCATTTGAATGTCCTGATTGTGGGAAAAGTTTCAGTAACAATTCCAATCTGGTGATACACCAGAGGATTCACACAGGAGAGAAACCATTTGAATGTCCTGATTGTGGGAACAGTTTCAGTCGCAATTCCAGCCTGGTGATACACCAAAGGACTCACACAGGAGAGAAACCATTTGAATGTCCTGATTGTGGGAAAAGGTTCAGTAACAATTCGAATCTGGTGATACACAAGAGGACTCACACAGGAGAGAAACCATTTGAATGTCCTGATTGTGGGAAAACTTTCAGTCACAATTCCAGCCTGGTGAAACACCGGAACACTCACTCAGGAGTGAAACCATATGAGTGCCCAGACTGTGGGAAAGATTTCAGTACTAAGACTAGCCTTTTGAATCATGTGCTTATACACACGGGAGAAACCATTTAAGTGCCCCAAGAGTGGACGGTGCTTCAGGAAACATTCCACCTTTATTGCACACAAAAAAATGCAGATGGATTTTCCAAAGTGATGAGTGATGACCTAAAGCAGTGGTTCCCAAAGTGGGCGGTACC